AATTAGACTTATTTTCACAGGTGCTACTCACAGAAAACTTTTCAGTGACCATGGAGTTCAAAGATCTCTGCAGGAGAAAATAAGAAATCTGCAATCAGAGTTATGCAGGTTGCGTAAAAATAAAACGTCATTTACAGGACGATTAGCTGCAGCTGAGACTGCATCTAAAGACCAGAAATTGCAAATGCTGCTTAATAAACTGACAAAACCTGCCCAACTTTTTATTAAAATGCAACTGCAGTCTCATAAAAAACCAAAAGGAAGGCGGTTTGCAACTGATGAGAAAATTTTGTCTCTGTCTTTATATAAGAAAAGCCCGAAATGTTATAGCCTTTTAAGTAAATATTTCAGTTTACCATCCGCAAAAGCGATGAAAAGATTGGTAAGCCAAATCAAATTATCAGCAGGTATAAATAATGTTTTATTTGAGAAAATAAAAACAGCTGTTGCAGAAAAACCTGCTACAGAAAGGCTATGCAGCCTTATTTTTGACGAGATGTCATTGACGCCGCAAATATTTTATAATAGCCAAAAAGATGCTTTTGAAGGTTTTGCCAATAACCAAGATAATAAATTTGCTGACCATGTGTTAGTATTCATGGTTAAAGGGTTAAAAAATAACTTCAAGCAGCCAATAGCTTATTATTTTACATCGGGGCTCAATAAAATTGAATTAAAAAATATACTAAAAGATGTCATTACCCAGATTCAGAAGACTGGTTTGATAATAATTAATACTGTTTGTGACCAGAGTACTATTAATGTAGGCGCCATAACGGAAATGGTAAATGATGCCAGAATTGAATATCAGCGCCGTTCCAAGCAATGGCGGCATGACGTAATTTACATTAATAATAAAGAAATTATCCCCATTTATGATGCTCCACATTTAATAAAAGGAATTAGGAATAACCTTTTAACAAAACATATGATTTATGAGATAAATGGAAAACAAAAAATTGTAAAGTGGGAATACTATCAAAAACTGTATGCTGCAGATAAATCATTTGGAGAGCTCCGACTTCTAGATAAAATTACAGAAGAGCATATAAATCCTGACAAAATAAATAAAATGAGGGTGAAGATGGCTACCCAAATATTTAGCCACAGTGTTGCGGTAGCTACTGAGCACTTGGTAGCACGTGGAAATTTACCACAAGAATGCCACGAGCTGGTGGAGATAACATTGTTATTAGACAATCTATTTGATAGTTTAAATGTAAACACATTTCATATACCAAATGGTAAAATTTATAAAGGACCGATCAGGAAACATTCACCTCACCATCAACTTTGGATTAAAGCAAAAGAAATTTTGAAGACTGTCAAATTTTTGACTGTTGTCAAAAACTATGTAAAGGAAATTCCTTCCATTAAAAATTTAATAAAAACCATTGAAGGCATTGAAGCAATCTGGCAAGTATTGTCACAAAAATACAATTTTGATGTGATGTTAACACGTAATTTTAATCAAGACCCTATTGAAAATTTCTTTGGGAACATCAGAACTTACGGTGTAAGAAATGTTGCCCCAAATAGCTCCTCTTTCGAAGGCTCTTATAAATCATTGTTATTAAATAATTTTAACGTACCACATTCAGTAAGAGCAAACTGTGAAGATGATCGAAGTGAATGTTTGCAAAATTTAAAATTCTTTTTGACAGAAAAAGTACCCACTTCTGATGTTCCTGAGAAAGATATAATCATAAATGATGAACTGCTATTACAGCAAAATAGGGAAACTGATGCAGGTCAAAGTTATTACGTTTGTGGATGGGTTTTAACAAAATTTTTAAAAAAAATTAAGAAATGTTCTATTTGTAGAAAAAAAATAATAAATACAAAAGATAAAAATATAAATGATTTTTTTACAAAAAGAAAAGAATATAAAAAAAGCAAAAAATGGTTATGTTATCCTAACGAGAAATTGCAGGATTGCTTCAATGAAATTCAACATATTACACATACAGCATTAAAAAAAAATGTTCAAAAGAACAACATTAGAAGAAATATTATTGCTCTAGCAGACATCTTCATTCAATTCAATTTTACATGTGATAAACATTTAGACATTTTCAAAAATTATTTTGTGAAATCCACAATTAATGTTTTAATATATAGTTGGTGTAGGTCCATAAATAGGATTTTAAGTGGAAAAATTACATACCAAGGTGACGACGAATTAAAAAATGCAGCACAAATGTATTACAACAAACGTAAACATTATAAAAATAAAAAATGAATAAAATATTTGGCCTTTAATTTTCGTCCTTTTCTGCTATATTGTCATAACTCATAAGTACGTTGAAGATTTCATTCGACATTAGACATTACGTAGGAGCCTTTTTTATTTAATATTCTTATAATGTCGAAAGAAATCTTAATGTTGTTTTTAACTTTCATGGTCATTAACATCAGAATAATTGTTAAAAACGTGATTGCTACCATGCCTTATATTTTATGAGTTTCCGATATTTCGGGACTGTTGCATGATCACTGATCAGTGAGTAAATATCGGAAACTCATAAAATATAAGGCATGGTAGCAATCACGTTTTTAACAATTATTCTGGACTTCATAATTTGAAATTCGCGCGGATGAACTGACGAAAGTCCGCACACATCGATAAATATATGTATGTATGTGTGCGTTTGGTTTACGGATTCAATCAGTAGATGTCGCTTCAATTTCTGTTGGCGAAATTATCCTCAAGAGGGCTCTCTTTTCCCACTGTTTAATGAGTTGCGTTGTGTTGAGATCTTGCTTACTCGGGATTTTCCTATATCAGCGGATGCTATTTTTTATATTATTATTATTATATATTTTTTAATTAGTATTATGTCTTAGTTATTATTATGTCTTTTTTTAATTTGTCAAATGGTGTATGTGTTCAATAAATATTCATTCATTCATTCATTCATAATACTGATATTAATAAATTACATAACTAAATTATATACCACAAAATGATATGCAAATGTGGTATGCTATTTTACTTCAATAGCATTTTTTTAAATAAGTCGCTTTTGAGATAAGTATTGGTTTTCTTTTTTTAAGTTTGAATACGGTTCCAATTTTTAAAAGTTTTTATTTCATACTTTTTAGTGATGATATTTTTTATATAACAGGTAACACTAAAAATACTTTTCTGAAAAATCATTTAGTTTGATAAATATTATGACTAAATAACTTTTCTCAAAACAGCATCAAAATCGGTTGAACCAAACACGAGATAAACGCACACAAACATACATGTGAAACTAAAAGAACCTCCTTTTTTGAAGTCGGTTAAATAGTAGCCAATTATCGCGGACGCAGTCTCTGGGAGACAGCTAGTATTTAACAATAGGGATGAGGCCTTTGTAAAATAAAATAAATTCTAATTACTTAGTCCATCAGTCAGTTAATGGAAAAATATAAGATACATTTTTTTTGCTTCAATTTAACAAAAAAAAATGACCTGCATAATAGGCACTAAAGTTGAAGAGTGGGGGCTCGCTACGTCACAACTATGTGTAATTTTACAAAGACGTGATTTATTTATTAAGCAAATAATAAAAATACGTGTTTGATATTCTTCAATAATCTACTTGAGGGACACACAAACAAAAATTGACGTTGACAGCCTCGAGCAAATTAGGTTGACAAAACAAGCTAATGAGCTTGTTTGTGCCAGCTTGTTTTTAAAAAAAGTTTCTTCACGTGAGTTGCGCTCGTTCTTGTCATCACCGAACGACGACAACTCGAATATCAGCATTAAAATCAGGATCGATTGTGGCTGATGCGGATGATGATTTAGATATTCGCAACAACTGGTTGAGATTACACATCATTTTTATGATTTTGTTGGCTTTCTCTACGTGCTTTTTATACTTTCTATTTTCATATGACGTCACGCGGGTGTTCTTGAACAAGGTTCGGAGGCCTAGGCTGTATGTAAAGGTTAAGATTCCTTTGCTTGTTGTCTTAAAAGTACAACATATGACTGTAGATATGAACATTTAAACGAAAAGCACTTAATTAAGCATGCATTTTTAAATAAGTGCAAAAGCGCTTTTTTACTTTGAAGAAAAGTATGCTAATGCTTATTGTACGTCCCGCCATCTATAAAGACATAACGACATATTAGCTTTAATAAATTTTTCTGTTTCGGCATTTTTCTATTAGAGGGCAGAACTTTACATAAACGCATTGTATTTATACTATTACGCGTGATATCCAACTATACTTTTTGTAACAACTTTTTTGGTTGGTTAATCCAAAAGCTTTTTTAAACGGAACTTAAACTTAAAAAAGCAGTACGCTTTTTGTTGTTGAAGTAAGTGTACGTTGTGTTGAATGTTAATTAATTGCGTGAGTTGAATTGTACGCGTAAATGAATTGCTACTTAAGTAATAACTTTTGTTTAGTTCTAAATAAACAATGTAAATATGTTTTTTTTGTATGAGGTAGGTATGTGTATATAAAACATTCTAAATATTATTGAAATGCATTAGTTTTAAGGTTGTGTAAATAAGATGTCGAGAAACGATAATAGTATTGTGATTTTGTATTATACATAAAAACCTGCCTTTTGAATCACCCTATCTATGAAAATCCGCATCAAAATACGTTGCGTAGTTTTAAAGATTTAAGCATACATAGGGATATAGGGACAAAGAAAGCGACTTTGTTTTATACTATGTAGTGATAACACAATGGTGCACGGTTATTATAACGATTTCTAAACGTCAGTTGAAAAAAAAGCGTTTAAGCAATAAGCAGTTTTTAAAAACGCTTATTAAAAATCATGCAACGTAACAACACTTAAAAATTTTAAGTAGTTATTTCCACCTCTATATGTCAGAGCAGTTGCCAAAGAGTGGTATTATATTAGGGAGTTGCCTGGTTATCTGTCAATGTCATCTTCCCCCGGTTTTATGGGTTTTTATTTAGAATATGTGTTATCTCTGATTAGAATTTAGAATTATTTAAGATTGGTTTTGTTTAACGACATTTTGGTAATAGAGTTATTAGTTTTTGTGTCATTAAACTTTATTAGGTATAGCTTTAATTGAGTTTTTTTAAACCTACAATGAGTCAACGACGACTGCATCGTTCCAGTAACACGAATGAAGAAATCGATGCTAGTTTGGATGATGCTGTAAAAGAATGTGTTAGGTTTATTACTTGCCGGGAAGGGAGCAAAAAACCTATTAAAAGGGCGGAAATCTCAACGCATTTGCAGACTACTTGTCAAACTACAAACAATCCAATAAACTCTGTGATAATTGAGGCTAATAAATTATTAAAACGGGTAAATTGTGCAATGACAATAAGTGGTTAACTATTAAAAAATGTTTCAGTATTTTTATTTAGTCAAAAATAATTTTCAGGTTTATGGTTATAAACTTGTCCAAGTTGAGGCAAAAGGTGGGATACAGTATATTTTGATACTCACTGAAGAGAATGAGTCTTTACATTCCAGTACTGTTGATCCCCATCACAGAAAGTTGTTAATTGCGGCTCTCACACATATTTTTATGACTGGTGGTCCAGTTAAAGAAGGTAGATTTGAATATATTTACATTCAGAATTTTTATGAAACTTCAATTTAATATAAACTGCTTATTTAATAAATTGCTTTAAATAGACATGAGATAAGCTTTTTTTTCCATACTCATCATGTATTATGATCTGTTTTAGATGATATGTGGAAATTCTTAGCTGAAGCTGGTCTGTTAGAAGAAAATGATCATACTGGACGAAAGATACTCACAAACATATTCACTAGGCAGTTGTATTTGATCTATTCTAAGGTACTAAATTTTTAATTAACTGTAGTGTAGTAACTGCAAACATTTCTATATTACATTTCATTATTTTTTATTTTAAACAATACCTGTATTCAAATTTAATATTAGACACATCATCCAGTATAGCACAAATGACATCTGTGAAATATTTATTCTGTAATTAAGAAGAAATCAAAACATAAAAAAATCAGTTTTGTTACTGTATGCATAATGTCTCAGTTATTGAAATATTATTTTAACTTGTATATATTTTGTTATATGTGTAAAATAGATATCTAATACCTTTAAATGAGCAACTCAGAGGTGTCTTCAACAACTTATGAAATTTATTATGCAGTGTTTCGGGGGCAATATATCAACTAAGTTAGGTTTCATATAAAAAAAAACTAAGTAAAGCCCCTCATTCAGGTAATTAAATAAATCAGTAATGTTTATTATCCAAACAATTTATAATTCAAGGTTGGTGAAGGTGACTTGGCTAGATATGTATTTGAATGGGGACAGCGTTCAATTGAAGAAGTGCCCAAGCTCTTTTTACTGAATAAAATGGCACAGGTATACTATACTCCTTTAATTATTTCATCTGATAGTATAATATGGTGTCTATATTCTTGTGTAATGCTATATCATTTACAGCACAATTATATATTTATTTGCTTAGGTTGAATGAATCCTTTGTTTTCACCCATCCGACAATCAAACTCAGTAGTCTCATTAGTCCGACAATCAAAGCAATGAATCGAACTAGTGAGATTTTTTTCCCATTAGTTCGACCGTCGGAACTCATGAGAATGTATGTAAGCAGGATGATAAATAGCTAGCCCAACTTCATTCAAATCAATCGTATAGTTTTTCTTTTAACAGCATTATTTTGTTTGTTTTGTTTTTCCTGCAAAATGGATAAAATTGAGCTACAAGCTGTGATAAAGTTTTTGCATTTAAAAGGATTAAAAGGTGGAGAGATTTTTTCGGAGATGAAGGATGTTTCGGGAGAAAATGCTCCTTCATTCATATGCGACCATAAAAAATTGGGTGGCTGAATTTAAACGTGGCCGTATCAGCATCCAAGATGAATATCGTCCAGGACATCCAAAAACTGCCACTACAGAAATTGTGATCAAAATTCATGATGCAGTTTTAGCTGACCGAAGATTGAAACTTTTCGTGATAGCTGATACTGTAGGCATCTCTAAAGAACGGGCACATTACATTTTGACTCAAGAATTATGTATGAAAAAATTATCCACAAGGTGGGTGGCGCGATTGCTTACAGTTGACCAAAAATGCGTTCGTATGTAAATTTCACAAGAATGTTTGGACCGCTTTAAGAGCAATACAACTGATTTTCTGCGACGGTTTGTTACTACAGACGAGACTTGGGTTCCCCACTATATACCTGAATCAAAAATTCAGTCTAAACAATGGACGGAAATGGAGGCGGGGCTCCAAAGAAAGCAAAAGCCGTGAAATCAGCGGGAAAGTCATGGCGTCAGTATTTTGGGATTCGAAGGGTATATTGATGATTGACCTTCCAAAAGGACAAAACATAAATGGCGAATATTATGCTGATCTACTGGATAAATTACAAGTGTGTATTCATGAAAAAAGACCCGGCCTGGCTAAAAAAATCTTTCATCAGGATAATGCGCGCGTTCACACGTGCATCACTGCGAGGCTTTAGAGCATAGATTGATGAAGTGCATAGCGCTTCAAGGAGATTATGTTAAAAAATAAATATACTTTTAACACACTAATTCAAGTTTTTCTATGCTAGGCTAGCTATTTATTATCCCGCCCTCGTATTTTCTATTAGTTTGACTGTTGAACTAATTTAGATTTAAAAATAGCCTTACTGTATTTAATGTTTTAATAATTTCGTAATAAATTAAAAACGCTTGGTTCATTAAAAATATATATTCGTCGTACCCCTACACGTATATAGCATATCTTTGAGTAAATAAACAATACAAATAGTTTACACAACTTATTGTCATATCACTCGGAAGTCTTTCACTGCACATTTCCTAAAATGCATCTCTATACCTACAGCACTTAGGTATGTGCATTATAAACGCGGGTATGTTAATAGTTTTTATTTTAATTTTGAGGGTAGATGGTAGTAAAATAATGGATACATTACACTGGTCATGTGCTGCAATAGCAACATTTTATTTGGCGGTGCCTGTTTAGTTTTCTATTTATTTATTTTTGGAATGGAGTCTAACGTATTGAAAATTATTAAAAGTGGTTGAGGAAGAATTCTGCAATTAGAAGGACTCAATGTATAAATATAAAAATGGTCAAAGCATATGGCGGTATCAAAATTACAAAAGTTTAAAATGTACTGGAACAGTGAATATGGTAAGTCTTGAGTGTTTTATATGTATATAATATATAATGTGTAGACATAATTATATATATTAAATCTTTACATATGAAATTGGCGTTTTGTCGTACTGGCCACTTTAATCACAAATTTCTCCTCCTTGGTTGGGAATTCCAAAAGTAAGGGGATCAATGAACTACTTATGAGATGGCAAAAGTGCATAGAGTTTTATAAACAATGGTTTATATTTATACTTTGACGTGGTTTGCGATGGATCCGCTTCCACATTAGCCTTCAATTCTTCATTATTAACTTGGGTCTCCAGCCGACCACGGGGCTTGTTCTGCAGGTTGTTGTTGGAACCAAAAACGCTCTGTGTTTTCTTTGCGACACAACCGCCATACACATCATTAACCCTTCGAGCCGTTTCCGCAGCATTGGCACCACGGTGGAACTCGTACTCTTAAATAACACGATATTTCAAGTTTTCAATTTTTTATACTGGGTGACGTAAATAGGACAAACAGAAGAAAATAAAACAAATGAATGCCGCCTAACGAAACACAAATACATGTGTAAATGGCTGTATAAATTTGAATTTGGAATTCCCAACCAAGGAGGAGAAATTTGTGATTAAAGTGGCCAGTACGTCAAAACGCCAATTCCATATGTAAGGACAGAAAAAATATTCAACTTATTGTTCCTCCCATACCAAACACCAATTTCATATGTAAAGATAATACAATTAATACAATTATTTTGTTTAAGGACTTTACTGAAACTTTACAAATAAAACCTCAAATACAATTAAAATGTGGTCAAATTAGTGTTACGCATTTAAAAAAAAAATTAGCTAGTTTTAAAAAATGCCCAACACTAATTTGATTAACCAAGCGTCTTTAATTTATAACGAAATTATTAAAACATTTAAATTTAAAAGCACTATTTTTAAATCTAAATTAGTTCGACAGTCAAACTAATGGGAAAAAAAGTTCTCAGTAGTCCGACGATTGAACTAGTGAGAACAAAGGGAATGAACTATTTAAATTTTATAATTATATTTTATTTATTTTTACAGGCATTCAGAAAGAGTCCTGACTATTGGTGTGAACAATACAAGGAAGCAACTACAGAAGAGACTGACACTTAATAATTTGATTGTTTTATTATGTATGTTATCTATTTGTTTCTGTAAAGCAGTTGTTAGTGCAATTAACACAACAAAAACTATTCATGATTGTAAAAAGATAAATGGTTCCATTGTGGATACTTTGGATCCTATAAGGGGAAAATTATATATATGACAAATATAAAGTTTGGCCATTTAGTGAAAGGTTCACAGTGAAATAAATGGTCTGTTGTGATACATTCTATTAGTTACCAATTGAAATAAAAATATTACTTAATATAATATCTCTATTATTTAATTTAATTCATAAAATATCGAGACATTGTAACACATAATATTTTGCTTATTATTGATGTTACTTAAGGTTTTGTATAACGACAAGGCAAAATAAAACAGGTGGTCTGCAGAGGACTTGACAATTTTCATTATAGCAAATAGGAAGTACCAATGTGCCGTAAAAGCTTCGATAATAGTACATTACCGTTATACAGAGTTAAAAAAATTGTTGTACAATAGAAGCTTTGTATTCGTGAGGGATAAGTCCCTTAAATATGCCGCAAAAAATGCGAATACGGGATGGCATTTAATATAGAATTATAGGGGATACGTTCCAAAACTATTTCTATTAAATAATGATTACTTTAAAAATACAACAATATTTCTTTTATGTTACTTTTCTTACAAACACAATACTTATTTTGATTCAAAAGTATAATCAGATAAATTTTGGCAATCGTAACTGAAGATAACATCTGCTTTTTATGGGTGCTGCGAGTATTACATAAATAGTTGAGTTAGCAATTTGATGTTTTTTTTTTGTGACGATGATTGCTAGACAAACCTACCACAGACCTCGCTTATAAAAAAAGCGTGAGCTTGTTTAGAGGATGACCTCTAATGGAAGGTTTCTTAGAACTTAGAAGCTTAACTTCGAGAGCGTGATCAATCCCTCTCGAAGTTTAACTTTTTCTTATAAAAAAATATCTTACCAAAACTCGTTTCGATCGCTTTCGATATAGTCGCCGAAAAGCGCGTGTTGAATGAACGAGAACGAATGTGATTTATATAATTATGAAACTACCAAAAATATCTTCGAAGATAAAATAACAGATGGTGGTCGAATCGTACGATAATACCTAGATAGATAATGCGAATAAAAAAATAATAGTTATGCTAACACAGATGTAAAGTATTCCTGTGTAAGCATAATTATTATTCTTGCATACTTACCAGCCTATCTGTTCCTATGTAGTTTTATTTCACCAATTTACAGTGGAATGTGTGGTGGATTATGGCCCGATATTTGTATAATCTCGTCGATGTTATTAGGTGTTTGGTTCCGTCAACTATGACTTGTCAACTGTTTTGTTTTTTGTTAAGTGAGTACCCTAGCAATAAATAAAACAAGTTTACTCTGTGTTCTGTGACTTATACCATTATTTTCTTTCCTAAATTTGTGTCATCGAAGGGTTTTCGGAATTTAGTCCTTGTTTTATATTGTTGCTGTTGTGTTATCGAGTTAACATTTCCTGTTATTTTCTGTCATAGTGGGCGAATATTACTTAATTTGAAATTATAGTGTTTGCTCATTGTTTGTGATGCAATAAATACATGTAACTGATTTAGCTATGGCAGTGGCTTTAGCTGATGCGGGGTATAGCCAGCATCGCATCGCTCGTACACTGTGTACCTCGAACTACGGTACGAGATGTTATCAGACGATTTCGGTTGACAGGCTTATACACCCGCAGGCCAGGTCACGGCCGTCATCGATGCACTTTCACTCGAGATGACTGTTTCGTTGTCACCAATGTGTTGAGAAATCGCTTTTCGTAAGCTACTGAAGCTGTCAGTGTCAGTGAACGTACCATTAGAAGAAGACTAGCAAAAAGTAATTTGAGGGATTTTCGTCCAGCTCGCGCTCCACAAAAGCTCCCACAACATCGTAGAGATAGACTTGGTTTTGCGCGAGAATACGATGACTGGACTCAGATGTGAGCAGAATAACCTAAAGAGGTCCAAATGGATGTCAGCGTGTCTACAGGCGAGAGAGGTTTGCTCCATGCGCTATAACTGATATGGGGAGGTATCTCTTATGAGTCTCGTACCGATCTTGTTGTAAATGCTGTAATTTAAATGTTGTAAATCCAATAAAGGAAGTGTAAACGCTTAAAGATACGTGGGAGAAGTTCTTCAAGACCATGTAATACCTTTCGCTCTGCTCATTGGTGACAACTTGAGATTAATGCATGACAACGCACGTTTCCATACCGCTAGATCCGCCGGTGAGAGTACCTTTATGAGGTCGGGATTCAAGTTTTACCATGACTGCGGGTCATCCCCGTGCAGTCCCGATCTTAGCCCAATAGAGCACATTTGAGACAAAAGACGTGTCCGAGCAAGAGTAACAGCCCCTACGGGTATGGGTGGGCTAAAAACGGCTGCACTAGAGGAGTGGCACAATATCCCCCAATCGGATATTCAAGACATCATGGATGGATTGACAAACCAGCTCCAAGAAGTAAGGGTAAAGTAAGTCTAGTGGTGGCGACACTCACTATTAATTTTTTTTTAATTGCCCCATTATTTTCAAAACCAAAATTTTAAAATTTTCTTTGAATATTTTCAAAAAATCGATTTTTGGTAAGCATCCTTTAATAAAAGAGTTTTTTTTTCCAATTTTTTTGTTGTTTCTTTTTCTTTAAGTATAGTTAGTAACATTCCTTTCATAAAATATGGTCTAAGTTTGGCAATTTCTGTGAATTGAAAGAAATAGAAGGTGAGCGGTTAATTGTGCCTGTGAGTGTAAATCTCCTTTTTGCTCATGATAAATAATAAAAACTTTAAAAAATACTTCAACAGTTAGGTTTTAAAAGTATTGTGTAGCAAAATAAACTAAGAAGATTAACAAAATCAACAAAACTGTCTAGTCAGTCACAAAAATAATCTTTTAATATTCAATTTTAAGAATATTACGATAAATATTCTTCTAAGAATGTCACCCATTCTCTAGCTGCCTGAGCCTCCTTAAAGGTCAGTACATCTGTAGTGGGGATGTAAAAGTCTTGATGATAATTTGAAAAGGTAATTACGGTTATGTTTCATTGAGGATATATGCCGTGACTACGCTGCTGTGTTCCAAGTCGATTTCGAGGCAGTTGCAAGAGGCTTAGCTGTTCTGAGTAAACATATAAAAACTACGGAACCTCCATTTTTATTTAATTATATGTTAGATATTTTGCAATAATTTGACTAGTTTTATATCAGATAGTTATATTACTACTGTTGTTATTACACTGATGTTCAGATAAGAAAATGTTATCAATTAAATCAGATTCGCTATCAATAAATATGTATGTATTTTCATGACGTCGGTCGGTGACTAATATTTTTATTATATTTAGAAAAGTCGAGTTGTTCGTTAGAAATGAGTATGTTATTAATTTTAGACACAGATAAGTAATACTATGAAATAACATTGGCTAAACCTACATTTTACATAATAGAGTGATTGGAGTTAAGTAAATATCGGAAATACCAAGTGATTACTGCCGGCACTCCTTTTTTTACGATGAGAAATGCATTACTGCATACTTCGTTTCCCTTATGCTGGTTCACGAGGTTATATGGGGGCTCTCTCCTGCAGTGCCGCTTTCAGGAAAGGGCTAGTCAAAATGCCAGAGCATACTCATTAAAACCCACCGATGTCCCTCTAAATGGCGGGCGATGCACGCTCACAGCCGAGGCCTCTTACCATGCACGACTTGTAGACGGGTCCCACTGCAGATTGGGGGCAAGACTCAGAGACATTTGTGCCCTACCCCCCAAACAGGACAAGAGACGTGCTGGCGTACGAATATACCAGGCTGGCCGCTGTCTAAGACAGGAGATGCTATTGTGCAATCTCCCGGCCTAACTCAGTCTATTGGGGGACCTCACCGGAGCTTTACCTTAGTGGTCCCATCCCACCCCCACAATTACAGCGGCCAGCCCGGTCACACATCACCACAGCTCAAAGAGCAATTTCAGTTATTACTATTGATTTTCAAAAAAGTTTGGGAGAAAGTCTTTGGTATTCTTACCTATTACCTACAGTGGCTATGTTTGAGAAGGAAAAAAGCACGAATGGGTAAAGTGCTTTTCTCAGTGGTTCCATCTGATACAGCGTTATATTGATTTAAATGGACACTATTTTGAAAATAATTAATACAATTTAATAACATAAAAATAAAACCAACTTCAAATTTAAAAAATGTGAAAAATAATACTTAGCGTTTAATTTTTTAGAGAACTTTTGAAGTCGTTTTCGAGGTTGAAATATTTTAGGTATAAACATTTTATATACTTAGGTCTTATACAATCTAATATAAAATTGCAATTCTAAACTTGCAACTTTGGTTGTATTCTGAATATAATAGACTACTTGACATTTTGGCGAACGCTTATAAAATAATGTTACTTAAAAAGTCTATCTAAAGTTATTGGTATATAAGCCCTTATAAACCAATACAGCCCATATTGGTTTATAAGGGCTTAGGTAATTAATAGGTGTGTGCGCTTGTTAAGTATTCCTAAGTCTATGACAAGTTTCGATAGTTGCTATCACAGAAAAATAGGTACTGAATTAATTGACTAGATTTATATTGATTTTATAATTTTTTACGGCGGAAGAATTGCGTGGTGAGACTTATGCATAGTTGTACGTTATATTTTTGACGGGATTATTTTATATACGAAAGAAAATAACTTTTTATCAATGATTTTTTCAAAAGTCATTGCTTTTTATATATTTTGAGTTACACTAGATGGTTTTAAGTATATTATACATAAATACTCTGTTCTTTATCTACATCCCACTGTTTGGCCATGGAACTTTAAGCTTTGTACTATATAGACGGCGTTTATTTATTCTAATCTGCGCTGTTGTTTGGTTCAAAAAAATTGGCGTAGATTTCAGTTTATGATTAAGTATTGGGTATTTTTCTTTTTCATCTATATTCTAAATTGAATAAATAGTTTTAAGTTTTCAAAAATAAAGTGCTGATACATATTGGACATTCGTCTACGTGTGTAATTCATTTTTAATTATTTTTCTGTATTGTGTTTCTTTAAATAATAGTTAGTATTTTATATTTTCAAATAGCTTAACATAATTTTGAACAATGTTGTATATATCAGTTATTGGCTGTCATGTAAGCCCTATACAATTATACCCATATTAAAAAAAATAATTAAATGTATAGTTAGTTGTTGGTGTAGGTTAAATATATACGTAAATATAGCTTTTGTTGTAGTCGGTTTTTTAATCTAGAAACTAATATGACACATGCAAATGTCAAATTTATAATTGATGCTACCAGATTTTTTTGAGCAGGGTTTTGGAGAAGTCGGGAATTTTCATCAGCATTAGACGATAATCTTATTAATAAAATGCATTGGTTATGTATGATAAAAAACTACTTTGACGTCTATAATTTCTCAATTTAGAAAGATATTTCGTGTGGTGTGGTGCTTAACAATTTTCGTTTTAATTAAATGAATTGTAGTTTCTAAAACAAATTAATTGTTATTATTTATTAATATCAATTAATTATATGATCAACTTCGACATGGATTACGCTATCTGGTTATTTTGCGATTGCCTTAACGCGTTGAGAACTATATTTTCGCTCAATGAACGATTTCTATCTTTGAGCGTAACATATACATGAAGTTGTGCAGGTGCAGGTAAAGGATTCAACTGATACGGAGTTAGAAAAAAACTGTTTAAAAGACGAAATCACAATAATAAAATTATGTAAAATACGTTTTATGTAAAACCAAGTACAAAATTTGTATCACGTCAGTTGATGCAAATCGAAAATGGAAATTTACTTTTATAGAAATACACAAACATTCGTTACATAGCCATGAAAGCAACGATATAAATCTAGCTATTCCAATTATATATATTTGAATAAGTAATAAATTAAATTTCGGGTAATATTAAGACCTTAAACTCAACACAAATTATAGCTTGGTAAATGTTTTCTCATCATTTACGAAACCCGAGTTGTCTATTTCACATTTCTCTCTTGTCTTCCTAACGCTGGTCTCCACCTGTTCTATGGTGTCCATAAGAGGTAAATGCTTTGTCTCTGGCGTCAGAATGATAGAAAATCCCGTTATGACCGATGATGCACCGAAGCACAATGCTGGTAGGATCTCCGATATGTCATTCTGAAAAGAAAAGTATTTTTAAATCACTTAGAAATTGGATTATAAAATCTGTCTTTTTTCGGATATTTGCCATAACTCATCGACTTAGTACATACTACGTATGTATATGATATTACTACAGGATCGTAAGCTAAAATCACAGGAAAAACCATTGATATTGGCCGTATCGAGAGCCGTTATCTTTATGTAACCGATATACGATTAAGAAGGTTCGTATTTAGTCTATTGCTAAACGGTCACACTTCCCGGTCTTCGATTATATTCAACAAACGCGAGTTTTTTTTTATTTGAATTATATGTTTGAAAGTTTTTGAATTTTTAATCTAATAATTCAATCAAAATTAATGTAGAGTGAAATCCTATCAATGAAACGATATTGAAGGGAAATGACATTCACAAACGTCCCCTAAAAGGTCATTAATTTTAATTGACTTAAAACTAATGACCATTTTAAAGGACACGATCCTTGTAAGAAAGTTGGAATTTCTGACTGAGAAAACAGAGACCAATGCTGAAATTTGTTTTCGGTCGTAATACCAATTTAGGTAGTTTTAAGGGACATTTGCGCAGTTACACAAACGTCTTACTCGGTTTGAGATATGGTTGTCAGGCAACTTTCGCAATGGTCTTCGGTTGGGTAACCAAAAAATGCATTATCTCGATATTAAGCATAAGCTTTAAGGCGAGTTTGTAAGAAATTACTACTTATTATATTTGATCAATTTTGCGTTCACAATGATATAGGTACTGGAAAAAAAATATATTTTTTTTAATTTAAAATTACCTCTTTTTAACCCAAATTTATTCTAAGGCAATGGTAATATTTTCCAAATAATACGATCGATTATTTGCTAAAAACAGAGACATAAATAAACAATTGGCCCGATAGAAAAAAATCGTAAAGATACTTGAGTAGGTTTTTGGATCGATTTTAAGAACATTTCATTTTACATTTCAATACATTTAATTTTAACTATATAATAAAAATAAAATAAAAATAAAGCAATAAAAACTAAAAATAAAAAATAGAACCGACTTCAAACTTTAAGAATGTGATAAATAATACTTATCTCAAAAGCGATGTATTCAAGAACATGCTATTGAAATTGGGCGGAGGTCTTCTGTAGGTTATTAATTAAATGATAGGTGCTCGACTTTAATAGCATTTTATGAGTAAGTCGCTTTTGAGATAAGTATTATTTATCACTTATTTAAAGTTTTACGTCGGTTCTATTTTTTTATAGAATAGGTAATACTATAAATATAATATTAAATATCTATATAGATAAATTTCACTATGTTCTTAGAAAAGAAGATTTTGTTTATTTTCTCCAATAAATAATTAATAATTTTTTACAATAATTCTATACTCATACTATAAAGAGGAAAGATTTGATTGCTTATTTGTTTGCATTTGATAGACGCCGAAACTATTGGACCGATTTATAAAAGCCTTTCATTTATGGGAAGCTACATAATACGCGTTGGACATAGGCTATAATTTACGCAGGCAAAGGCGCAGGGAAGTAGTTTGATAGAAATTGTTTCACAATTCAAGAATAAATTGATTAATAAAAAAAAATACTCCTTGCACATGGAAATCCTCCTTTTGGATTTTGAGTGAATTTAAAATACGCAATTTTTATTTTTAACTGAAATACATTACATATCATCTAAATATTTAGTTGATATCTGTTGAAAAGCGTATTTTGTTTTGTTACAAAAGGAAAACTACTCATTCAATTTCGATAAAATTTAAATAGGGCCATCTTCGGTCGATTAAGCTGTCGAATAAAAAAAGAATTTTGAAAATCGGTCAACAATTAGAGGTAATATCGGTGAACAAACATAAAAAACGTACATCGCCGTTGAACATTGTAACCTCGTTCTTTTGGATTTTGAAGTCGGTTAAAAATAGATATTGATATAAACTACGAGTATGATAATTACCCGAATGCGATTCGGACCCTAAAATGAAGGTTTGCTACACTACCCCAATGCGATTCGGATCTAATGACGGTTTTCTATTTTTCTTTTCATCTACTACGGTATATGTATTCTTTCTTCATAGGGTAAAAAAGTACACAATAACAATTCCATTAGATTTATTTCTCTACATACGAGTCAAACTATTAAAAGCTTTGATTATAATGCATTAATTTTTAAAATAGCTACTTAATTATGTTGAGATTCGATAGCTGTTATAACTTCAAAACAATATTTACAAATTACAAGTCGCCCTGACCTCCAAATGAAAAAAATTATAAAACTCATTTAATTTATTACAAATGGTGGATAGTCGCGACCTTTAAAAAAACATGTGACATGTCAATCAATGTATGGAAAGTGGAACAAGTGAGCGTGTTTTTACTCTCGCGTATTTGTTTGCGTATTTATATGGGATCATTTGTGGAAGTACATGAGGGCTTAAGGATCTAATATTTAAATTGTGAAGCATACCAGAACGGGAGTGAGAGGGGCGAGCATGCCCCCAAGTCGCGCTGCGAACGCGCATAATCCCAATAGGGAACCGCGGGCGCTTGTCGGGAACAACTCCATGCAGTAGGTGATGGCGCCGGTGAAGCACGCCGACATCACCACCTTCCCTGACAGAAACAGCAATATCTTGGCCCAGCCGAGTGCTAAAATATATTTAAATAAAGTTTAAAATTAGGGTCCGACTAATAAGAGTAGGAAGTAGCTCGGTGGTTCGTAGATAAAAGCAAATCTCGCAAAGATTGGCCACGGCATGAGTGAGCAAAACTTATTATCTCGATCTACTCCGTGCTTCGGAAGGCACGTTAAGCCGTTGGTCCCAGCTGTATTTGCAGTCGTTAAACTCTCCAATCCGCATTAGGTGGCGGGTCCGGACCATCCACCTGAACCATCAATAAGGAAGGACTGAGGCCCTGCATTAGGAATGTAAAAGAACTAATGATGAGGGACCCACTAATACGGGAACATCTGAAATAAATGAAGTATTATGATACCTGTTAGCATCTTGCGTAATAAATGGATTATAAATACAACGTGGTTGCTATTTAAGAGTAATCAATGTAACATACAATAAAAAACTGACCAAGTGCGAATCGGATTTACACACGAAGGCTACCATTATCCTTATAAACGGTAAAAAAAATCACGTTTATATGGAAGCCCCTTAAATATTTATTTTATTAGATTTTTTTAGTATTTGTTCTAGTATTCTGTGAAAATTTCAACTGGCTAACTATCACGGTTAATAAGATACAGCTTGGTGATAGACGGACGGACGGACATACAGACAGATGGACAGTGGATTCTTATTTATAGGGTCCCATTTTGTACGGAATCCTAAAATGCATAGAGTTATTATAGACATAGCTCACATCTTGCAATTGTTGCGTCCGTAGCGCCGTCTCGTCAGACGAAAATGAAAAAAATATGAAAGTCATGAAACTATTTAGTTTTAGTTCAAGTATATGGTACTTTAATTTAACGTTAATTTCATATAATCTGAAGATTATATGAAATTCTTCCAAAATATATGTTATCAAATACTCACTTGCAGGCACGAATGCCGACAATATACAAAGTCCACCGCAGAATATGAATCCTACAATGAGAGGCAATTTTCTACCGATTTTGTTCATTAAATACAACGATATTAATTCTCCAGGAAACGACATCACCGTTGATAATAGGAAATTCACATATTTATCGCCCGGTAGCCATACGGAGTTTATCATGATACCGTAGTACACGAAATTGGACGTGAATCGACAGAACGAAGCGACCATTAGTCTTTTCATCATCTCTATCGAGGTGAAAACTGCTTTAAGACCTTCTTTGGTCTCATAATTTTCAATATTGAACTTCTCTTTTAGTTTATTAGCATCTATATCAGAAAAATCTTGCATGTTCACTTTCATCTTATTTTTATTTGCTATTTCAGTAAGGTTCGTTATCGCTTGTTTTGTTTTGCCATTTAATATAAGCCACCGTGGACTCTCGTGTAGCAAGAATGTTAGGAGAATACAGAAGATTGGAGGAACATAGGTTATTAAAACGAGTTTCTTCCAGTTATGCACGAACATGGCTATAACGGCAAATAATGACTCGCCCATGTAAATTGCGTACGCGAATAATACGCCTGAGAGTATACGTTGTTTTCGTCCCGTAATCTCAATCACTGAAAGTTAATAAAAAAGGAATTAAAAAATATAATCTATCCAGATAGCAAAGAAGTTCTATAATGACAACCGTTTACTTTTATGATAGATAACACAATTCGCCTGAAAATTTAACTCCAAATGATAAAGTTTTGCGAGCCCATTAAAATTTAAGGAACACCATGCTAAATATCATTATTATTATGATAATTGAATTAATTCCAGTATAAGTATGTAGCTAAGATACTATTTGTTAGGGAAACCTGACACACGAGGCAATGTGGGAAAAGACAAAAACCAAAATTATATTTATGCCCTGTCCTAGTCGTTTAAGACATGCGTTTTTATGTAACTATTATTAACTATGGTCTTAATAACTTAATAAAATAAGATCACTGAAATTGAACAGCGTAATAAGAATGAAACTCACTTAGGACCATAGCAATTGAGTAACTTCCTCCGCCAAGTAACGCCTCCAGAAACTCTATTGAAACGTATAAATAGTATGATGTAGCAAATATTTTAAACAAGCCCACCGAACTAATCAGCATTGAGAAAACCAGCGCATGTTTTCTACCGAATCTGAATTAAAGAAAAAATACACTTAGAAACAGTAAAGACGAGCAACATTTCATGTAATAATGTACCTAGCTGTTGTCCCGCGACTCTGCATGCGTAATAATAATAAAATAAATAAAAATTGAATTTATTTTCCTCACAAATTTTCCTCACAGGAACATAGTTTCATCAACTAAACACAATTACATGTTATCGACTAAACACAATTACAAAAAAAAGGGGCGATAGACTAAAGTAAAGATCACCAGAACCCACCCCACGGGGAATACGACTATTTTCGCATTAAATTACTAAGTATCTAAGTATTGTGAATCATAATCATTGCTTAGATCAACCCCGTATGATGTAGCTACCCGTAGGTTGAAGAATTTTTAAAATCTGTCCAGAAGTTGGGGAGCCTGTTCGATGCAAACAAACAAGCAATTAAATCTTTATTTTTATAATATGAGTATAGAATTATTGGAAAAAAATTATGTCGAGTAAATAAACAATATCTCCTTTCTAAGACTTTCACTATGTTGAATATTTGTATTTATACAGATATTTAATATTTTAAGTGTTATCTATTATATAAAAAATATCAATATCACTAAAAAGACTGAAATAAAATCTTTAAACAATTATACCGACTTTCAAACCTGAATAAATGATAAATATTATCGGGCGCCTATCATTTAATTAATAACCAACAATGAACCTCCGCCCGACTTTGGTAGCGTTTTCTCGAATAAGTCTCTTTTGAGATAAGTATTATTTATCACTTTCTTAAAGTTTGAAGTCGGTAGTTTTTTTTTTTAATTTTTACTATGTCGAGAAAGAGGATGGTGCAAAGCATTCCATGGTCAATGTTGAAGTCGGCTTAATTTCTCTTATGGTGAAATTCAGCATTATTTAATGTAATGTATTGACGACAGTAACAGTACCTATACTTAGATAGCTTTGATATCACCGTTATGAAGGTTGATCTTTTAATATTTAAAAGGATCCTTAATTAATATGTATATGATTCTTACCGATCTGCTATCCAGCCTGTAACAAGCATGGCTAATAGCATTCCTAAATTGTGAATCGTGCCCACCGAGTTGATATGCCACGACTTGCATGCTAGATTCAACTAAATAGAACAAAAAAAATATGTGAATATATGACTAATTTCATATGTGTATATAAAAATTTAATACTTACATAACTACGAAAGAATATATATATTTCATTGTACCTAACTAATTTTGTGTTTTTAATACTAAAATGCCATTGCTAAAATTAAAACTATACTATTATAGAACATTACCTTCGTTACAGTTTCTTTGGAATCGTATTAGCGTTTCAAAAATTGATGAATTTTCGTTCTCAATTCACGTTAAAATAAGCTAAAATATCGTCTCTGTGTGATATTTTGTGTTGATAATGTATAAATTTTATCTTTTCTGTATATTTATAAGCGAGAAAAATGAAAATGCAGTTCGTAAAAAATCTTATATGCAGTTCATAATTAGAGACACGTTCAATTTGTCGAAAGTGAAAGGAAGATAGGCAACTCATAGGAGAAATTGTATATAATATTCTTTCGTCCTTCAGAATTGACTTTAATGAATAAGGAATTGTCGCCCTGCAAACTTCGCGCTGTCTTTTTGTTTTCATAATAAAATTATAGTAGTTTAATTAGACATCTGTGAAGAGAGAGTACCTCAGTCACCACACTATTATTGCTCTCATATATCCAGCTATCACACGGCCCTGTTTCTTCACTAAAATTTTCAGCAGAGCAGTTACCGAAGTCCGAGACGATAGTAGTCTTCAAAATAGGCTTCGAGCACCTGTTTAAAGTATTGTTTGGCCACCATTCTACTTGGAAGGTAGGATTGAGGTTATCGCATTCAGGAATGCGGCAACTGGAAATGAAATAAACTTTTGTAGTAGATAATGCATTGTAACTGTTATGTAAATTATGTCAATAGTGACAAGGTTTCGACAACGTATAGAAACGCGTTTAGATAATGATTAGGTATATAAGTTATTTGCATTTTCGTCATGTTTATAACTATAAAACATCTTTATTAACAATTATATTTATTAATTTAACCTGCATTTTTGACATAAGATCTTTTGTAACGTTTACAGTTCCACAGGGTTCTTTTGTGTATCCATAATTTGAAATTTATATTAATTATACTTTTTTAATTAACCAATCGAAATATAATAATAGTATATTTAGTGGAGGTTTATTTAAAACAATAAAATCTTAGACAGCTTCTTTTTGATTATACTTCGGTTGTCACGATTTGTAGAATCTATTTGTAATTATTCAAACCATTAAGCTAACCATTATTTCATATTTATCTTTATTTTATAGCCAACGCGTCTCGACAAATATAATAATAATCAGAATTCATCACATTATATCGTCTTAATCAAAATTTAGAATTTATTTCAAATATTTTTGTATATAATAAGCTTAATAAGTTTCTTGTATCCTTGTTTTTTACTAACTAAAATTCGCCTGTTTTTTTTTATCTAAATATTTTATAATAACTCGCCGCTTTTCAACTCAGTCTCTAAATAATAATAAATATATAACGTTTGGTAATAAAAATTGAAATAGTTACCGGTATCCAACGTCTTGAACCACAAAAACATAGTTGATGTGCCCCATAGTTATAAACACAGTGGGGAGACATATATATAAGTATTGCAGTAATTGGTAACTGCCAAATTTCTCCAATATCTCCCATAATTCGTACACTTTTCCACTCTTTTTATTGGATCTCTTGAAGTCAACTGGCATTTTTTCAGTCTTATAAGGAACTTTTGACACAGCAAGAAGATATAAACACTAAATATTCACTATTTCATGAACGAAATGAGATTCTTTAAAATATAACCACTACTTTATTATAAAATTTATTTTTTTTGTACCCAAAGTCATTGTGTGATGTCTTAAGCGTTTAAATTTTAAGTGGCAATTCAAAATAATTAGCAGGTTGTATTAACCGAATGAGTACTAACCTAATACTGATTCTATCTCTATATCTTCGAGCCAGATCTCTTGCCGGGTAGACAGACAAAAATAAGAGCAATAAAGCACTTCCTGATAACGAATACTGATATAAACAATTAAATGTTTATGGTTTGTTCCCAACGTTTGTTTTATTAGATATATTTTGCTGTATTTTAAACATAATACGACCGTTTTGTGTAAACTAACGTAGCCTTCATTTACATTTCATAAGTGTGTAAATGTTTATTTTATGATTTTTAGTACTGCATGTGATGTAGCTTATTAGAAATAGTATCATTGTATTAACGTAGACCTCTTGAGTTCGATGACTAAAGAAATACATGTACTAACAGCAGACTTAACCAGATTTTTTCGCACACGGGTTTAGCCATGGTTTATGTACTCTCTATTGGGTATCAAAAATAAGATTCAAGTAGGTATCAAGTATGTATCAAAATTTTCTATACGTTTAGGTCTAGGTTTTTAGTGTTCCGACAATCTTGTAAACGTCAAGTTATCAATGTTGCCAGTATTTTATAACATAGATTTTGGATAATGATTTCGATTATGTCTATAGTGTCTCGATTTATCTTGAAAATAACTCAGTATCATATTTCATCATCTCAGGCGATAGAGATAGTACTTTTCTGTAAGAAAATATCATAAGCGTTTACATTGCATTTCTAGTAAATTCTAACTACACGTTATCTTATTTACCTACAAAATCTTGTAAAAAAATAAATTTACAAAATTATGAATTCATCATCATAAGCCTTCTAATGTGAGGACCTTAGAAGATTGAAAGGGACTACTGAGACAAATGTCTATCAAGAGAATATTTTTTTTTGCTCACCCTTCCATTGACTGGACTGCGAAAATTGTTTAACCTATATATCACCGACGTAGCAAACTACATATCAAATCTATGGTTGCATTACATTTAAATTATAAAAAAAGAAAGAATACATGAGTTCCCAACAAAGTGGTGTCAAAGAAGTCAGGAAAAAATTTACTCACGATTTCAAATATTTTAAAATATATTTTTTCGTGGTAATTAAATATTACAAAGTCGTGCGTAAGTAATAATCCACACCATAAAAACGTAAGTACGTTCCATTATCATTATTTTGTATTTATACGTTTTCATTTCATAACATTATGATAACCCGATCAAAAGTTAAAGCTATGGCCACCGATCAGAGCGAGGGCTCACCGATAGGCTCATCATCATCTATTAAGGCACAAAAGCTTGCTGCGGAGGCTGCGTACCTCCGCCGTATTGCGAACTTAGATTGGGCCGAGCGTCGAGCCTCCTTAGAAGCCGACCGCTCCATAGCGGAGGCAGAGCATCGTGCGGAAATGGCCGCAATTGAAGCCACAGAGGGAACCAGTCAGGTTTCCGACGTTCAAGTGTTTCTAGTCGTCACAGTTGCCGCACCGTTCATAGCTGGCTAGATGAAAACGTAATAAAGAATACTATATCTTATAGTGACAATTTAAATGTACAGGTGCCACCGATGGCTAGCATGGATATTCTAGAGGCGCATTCGTCGCCATCAAGAGGCGCAGAGGGTTTTGCAGCCCCCATCTCATCGAATGCCTGCATGCCCCTACCACGCACACGTACCACAACTAAAGTCACATCTTACATTCCAATAATAACAAGTGCCCTTTTATGTGCACAGACGTGCCCTGAGACTTCTGTGCCCGATTTTGCGTATAGGTGCGTACCTATTGCGCCTCAACCTACTAAAGTTAATGAATGCTACGTACCGCACTACCTAGTCACACCTATGGCGCAAGCTGCCTCTGTACCACACCTTGCGCCTTGCACGCCCCGTTTGCCAGGGTATGCACACACACACTTAATGGCTCCTCAGAACTTCGGTCAAGCACACGCTGCACAGGGTGTTTCTAAAGCCTTTCTACCACGGACGCCGACTGTACCGGCGCCGACTGCGCCTGTCTGGCAGCCACCCTGTTCTCACTCACACTCTGCATTAGGTACACAAAACGCTCAAAAATGTAACACAAATAATAAAGCATTAGAAAACCAAAATTCTATTCAAAACTTAGCTGACGCCATAGCCAGCGTCGCGGTAGCAGCGAAGATGCCAAAGGTAAGCTTTCCTCTTCCTATTTTTGAAGGTTGGCCGACAGATTGGCTAATCTTTAAGAAGATTTAAGATGAAACAAGCCCGTCATTTACAAACTCAGAGAACCTCATAAGAATCAATGCAGCCCTTCGCGGTCCTGCACGGGACTCTGTAGCTGTTCTTCTTGTAGCCACACGCGACCCATCGGAGGTCATTCGAGTTCTCGAGACTGAATTTGCTCGACCTGAGCAAATCATCCTGACTGAGATTGCATCCGCTTGTGCACTTCAAAAACTCTCCAGTCACGAGAGCGCGAATGAGCTTGATGTTTTTGCTTCTAAGGTTCACAACTGCGTGCAGGTGGTGCGGCTGCTGCATCAGCCTGAATATCTTGCCTCCCCAGAGCTTTCGAACGAAATTAGATGGGCTGATTTTGCAGTCAGTAGGAAAACGGCGGATCCGTATAAATACAGGCTCGAACTTCTGTCTGATTTTCTGATGCAGGAAGCCAACTTGCGGGTCAGATACCAAGTTTTCAACGTATCTGAAGTGAAAGACAAACCTGTAAGCAAAGAACGTTGTCATACTACTCTACCGCGTCATCCGTACCAATTGTTTCTCCGATGCCAAAAGAAAAGGTGTGCTCTTAGTGTGAAACTTCAGGCCACGTGGTAAGGTCCTGCCATAAGTTTAGCGCCCTTTCCTGTGAAAAGAGGTGGGAGTGGGTTTCTTCTCAAAAGGTCTGGCACAAGTGTCTCATTAAGGGCTCTCATCAATATCGTAATTGCAAAAGGTTTTCGTGCAAAATTGTTGGCTGTAAAGGCAAAAATAGCCACCATACCCTATTGCATAAGGTTTGTGCTGATGTTGTCACCGATTTTGCTGATATTGTCAGTGAATCCTGTGGTGTTCCTGAAGCTCCTGCGATTCCTGTAGTTGTTGGTCATAACTCGGCTTCATCTCCTGTGACTCCCGCCGGTCGGCCGTTACTTAAAATCGTAGCAGTAACCATCACGGGGCCCAAGGGTAGCTTCGATAAATATGCGCGGCTTGATGACGGGTCAACTGCGACGCTTATTGACTCTGCAGTGTGTAACACCATCGGTGCCCAGGGTGTTAAGAGTCACATGAGAGTGGACGGCATCAACGGTATGTCAAAAGAAGCTGAGGTAATTTTTGTCAGTGTGAATGTCAAAGGACGGCACTCTTTCAAATCTTATCGGCTAAATAATGTCGGATCCATTCCTAATCTTGGCCTTAGTAAGCAATCGGAAAATAAGACAGACGTGAAGTCCTTTGATTATCTCGCAGACATTGCAGACCTATGCTGTGAAGTGTGTATACTTACTTATTACATAATGTCTTCAATTCTACATATATACCTCTCTCTGTGTTACTTTGTAAAATCATTTGATTAGTATTAAACCTACATCTATTCTGAACGGTTGTTTGATTTCCCTTCATGGCGACCCTGCCATATACGGCGACCGCGGCTAGTGTTACCGAGCGCGTTGTACCATTGTAATAAATTAAAATGGATCGTTATTCTAATTCTGAGTTTCTAAGTGCAACAGCGTCTAATTCTGTCAAGAATGGGTAAATCACAGTCGAAACAAGAAGAAATTATTATAGCGCAAAATGCTTCTGGTGGAAGTAACTCTGCATCAGCGACGGAAGATTTAAAATACCACGTTAGCACTACCAATATCTTATTGATTGTGATAGTTACGTTTATCGCCTTGGGAGGCCTGCTATGATTTTATAAATATTACAAGAAGACTCAGAAAAAATGGATGCGACGAGAAATAACTATGAACGACCTGCGTAGATCACTTCGTTTGCGACCGATAGCGTCTCTTGGGAGAGATCAGCGGGAGCTGAATCAAGCGTCGAAAATTGAGCAAGTTTAAAGGTGTTCGTGTGAATAATACCAAGTTATTTGAGTGATTATTATTTTTCAGTGAAATTTTGCAAAAGTAAAAGTTAAATTTCCCGATTCGTGATTACGTAAAATATTATATCAGTAGAGACAGTAAGAATATATTTAGTTAACTAGTATTCCATTTATTATGATTTAATCAATTTGTGTATCTCTAATTAATCTAATTATAGCTAACGATCGTGTGTGACGCATATGTAAAGTAAACGCATTCCAATGCACAATAATTAATACGATCATCCTGTGGCCCCTACTATGGTAATTCGTGAGAGATGGTGAGTTGCATTGATTTATTTTTTTTACTTCTTAATATAAATATGAATGGAAAATGAGTTGTTACAGTGTTTAACAGAATTAAATGTAATTAAGAAATATTTAGTAAAAAGAGGTAAAGCTAGATTTTTAGGAAAAACTATAGAAAATAAGTTATTAGAAACGGAAACAATTCATAAAAGAGGTTCTTCGATTATTACGTTATTAACTAAGGAAAAGAATATTAAGCCAGAGGTTTTGGAGTCCTATTTTTCTATTTGGAATGATATAAAAGATATTTATAGTAAAATATTATTATTGTGTAAGAAGTCTACAGAATCGAGCAGTGATAGCGATAGCGAATATAGTGAGCCGACTGAATATTCATATTTAAAAATGGAGTTTGATCTGAAAATTGCTTGTAATTTAATACCGGTTATGGATGGTGATGAAAAAACGGTAAAAACGTTAATAGATGCAGTGGAAATGTACTCCGAAATGTTGTCTGATGCTGGAAATAAATTATTAATTAAATTTGTCTTAAAAAGTCGATTGTCAGAAAATGCGAAATTATGTTTGTCTACGGAATACAAGTCAGTAACAGAACTTATCAAAGATATAAGACAAACTTTGCTTACTAAAAAATCATTTACAGCAACACAATCACGCCTACAAAACGCAACCCAAGGTTGGCGCACAGTAGCTCAGTATGGAGTTAAGATTGAAAAATTATTTTCGGATTTGACTATATCACAGGCAGATGGGGATAACGAGAAATATGCTGTTTTAAAACCGTTAAATGAAAAGTTGGCTATAAAACGCTTTTCAGATGGTCTTCGTGATTCCCGGCTGAGTACCATTATTTGCAGCGCGTAACTACGAGCATCTAAAGGATGCTATCCAAGCGGCGAAAGATGAGGAGCTGTATGGAGCATCAACTGCAACAGCAGGAGATGAAAAGGTTATGCAATTTTCACGCCGAGGAAGAGGTAAGTTTCCTAATAAGTTTCATGGGCAGACTAGCAGTCGGGGCCGAGGTCATCAGTACTATCAGCGCCAGTAT